AATACCTGGACAACCGTAGATCTCCATCCTCATGGATATGTGTCCACGCCACTCCATCGGTTTGATTCGAATGAAGCGCGTTGTAATGGGTGGATTCAACATGTTGTAAGCAATGGTGTTACGGTCTTTATTTGCGAGGAAAACCTGCAGTGATACAGTGAAAACAATTTCAGGCACGTAGTTATGCCTTGGATAATACTTTAAAGTCCAAGCAGAATATGCTACATGTAAGAAAAGTTGTCAAAAAGAATTCTGTTGGTCGTTAGAAATGTCATACTATCTTCCCACTTTGGAACATAAATTTATCACTATAAAGAAATATATAGATTTAGCCAAGGCCAGAAGCGAAGCTCTCATGGGAACTTTTAAGAGAAAGTCTTTCTGAAGTAAAGTTTTCTGAGCCTGAGATCACTTGAATACCGCAACTGGTAGGTGGAGAACTTAAAAAGAAAACTTCACCTCAACGAGTTGTACATTTGAGCCCGCGATACCGTCATGTGACACTAGTCAGTGGATACCTTATTTTAATAGCTGTCGATTGATCACAACATGGATGCCCAGTATCAAGTAAAACACAATTTGGATATACCTTGGATTTTTATGCTAGTAAGTAAGACATTCCATATCCGCTAACATGATGGGGCGGACGAACGTACCTACGGACTGTCGTACGTACGTACAGATAATTTTGTCAGAACCGAAATTTCTTGGATACATAGATGACTTAATTTTCTTACCTATGGTGCGCCAAAGCAAACGACAGCTCTGCTATAAGTGGGATAAGATACAGTCAAGCCAGTTGTAAGGTGACACCCTCTATGAGGAGACCTAAGTGGTCGCTTAATAGAGTTTTTACTTACAGGGATTTACTGACAATTTTGGCCTCAGAGAGTGACTGCGTAATAGGAGGCGGTTAAATAGAGGCTCGACCGTATTCTTACGCGCAATAGCAATGTTTTCAAACGGTTGAATAATCACATCTTCTCAGAAAATGAGGCACTTTTATAAGTAAAAATAGCGGGTTCTTAGGTCTACTCAAGTGAAAGGTGACCACGGAACCGACGATGCACTTATGTTCTGCTTAAGGAGAACGTAAATCCGCATTTTGCTTCTTCAAACTGCTTTCAAAGGAGGTAACAGTTATAAGAGCGACATCTGACGTTTTTGAGCGACGCGCGTCAAGCGGAAGTGGACTTTTTGCATTCTTAGAAGGCGGTTTTTGCCTAAAGTCTTGGGCAAATCGTCTGTATAAGCGTAAAGACACTTACCAATTAAAACCTGCTGGCGTCAAGCCGTACTGAAAGGGAAAAGGCCTCACTTCCTGTTGACATGCGGCGCTCAAAGACGTTGTTGCTTAAACTCCCTATTTACATACCTTTGCTGAAGTCTGATGTGGCGCTTTATAGAACTGGAAGATCACCCCATCATCACTGTACTGCAATCTGTACTTAGTTACCCATTGATCGTAATCACTCCTCCCTTGTGTTGCAACACGAGTTAATGTAGTGTAACCACCAAGGTTTATCTGAAGCCATTGGTTAAGATCATTTGTGCGAGATGACCAGGCCCCTCTTTTATTGCCCCTTTTTTGATATCGCATGTGTAGCCTGGCCCGTGATGCAGCATGATTGTTATCCCACTGCGAAGAAGCACTTATTTGGGCATCAGTTATTGCTCCACTGTCCATGCCGAGAGGGTCAACGCAACCTAAATTTAAAAATATATCAAAAGTTACTAACAGTAGTTTGCAGGCACCCTACCAGCAAAGCCCCCTTTCTATCGCTTGCTTGATTGTGGTGTACTCGAGAAAAACCCGGCATGAATCCAGTTACATCTTTGTTTAGCATGCGCGCCATGTTTCTAAGATAGAGTTTCGAACCCAGACCTACTACCCGTGCGCATGCTACAGAAGGCTCGTTTGTGATCATCGGTTTGTCAATAAACGGATGCTTGCACTCGAAAACACCATTTTGTCGAGAGAAAACAAGATTGAATAGTCCAGAAGTTGGGGCTGCGGCAACCTCAAAGGCTAGTTGCCATTCTAGCAGAACCTCTTTTTCTCCTTCTAATGAACAGATGAATAAGGTAAGAAAAGACTCTGCTCGTACGGTGAAAGTTGTTAGAGCAACTCAGTCAGATTAACATTCACTGCAAGTTCTGGTGGTCTTTTATATACGGCCCAGGTTCCAAGCAGCATCTTACATGATGAAAAAAATGAAAGCTTGCTTTTTTTGTTCTAATTAAGTCTTGCAATTTTGCGTAACAGCACCTGGACAACCGTAGACCTCCGTTCTTAAAGACACGTGATTGTTCCACTCAAGAGGCAACAGCCGAATGAACCGAGCTGTGATTGGTGGAATCAGAGTGTGGTATACAACAGTGTCACTGTCTTGATTTCCTTGAAAGGCCTACAAAGCAAACAACGGTTTTAAGAACGAGATTGTTTTAA